CCTTAAATCTTCTTTTTCCAGTTCTTTAAAATGTAATGTGGGTTGATTACTTAGAAAATATCTTCTTTGTTGAGACACACCTGCGATAATATAAATTTCCCTCTTATTACTGCTTTCGCTGCATCCTAAAAATTTTGATATGTTGCAATTGTCACTTATCTCTCTTTTTATTTATTTTTATCTCTCTTTTTTTATTTGACCTTTCATTTCTTCTTTGATCCAGTCATTATTTAGTAGTGTGCTGTTTAATATTCACATATTTGTGGGTTTCTTTACTTCCTTTTTGCAGTTGATTTCTATTTTCTTTTTTTTAAATATATTTTTATTGATTTCAGAGAGGAAGGGGGAGTGAGAGAGAGAGATAGAAACATCAATGATGAGACAGAATAATTGATTGGCTGCCTCCTGCATGCCCTCTACTGGAGATGAACCTGCAACCTGGGAATGTGCTACCCTTTTTCTTTTGAATGCATCTGTTCTCCATTCTCCTTTGAAAATTCAGACCATCTCCCTCCTATTTTATGTTTTTGTTGTAGCAAATTATCCTTCTTAATCAGTGGTTCTCAACATTTCTAATGCCGCAACCCTTTAATACAGTTCCTCATGTTGTGGTGACCCAACCCATAAAATTTTTTTCGTTGCAACTTCATAACTATAATTTTGCTATTGTTATGAATTGTAATGTAAATATCTGTGTTTTCCAATGGTCCCACAAGTTTAGAACCGCTGCTGTAGAGCCTAAGATCATAGGAAAACACAGATATTTACATTATGATTCATTAGCAATAGCAAAATTAGTTGTAAAGTAGCAATGAAAATAATTTTATGGCTGGGGATCACCACAACATGAGGAACTGTATTAAAGGGTCACAGCATTAGAAAGGTTGAGAATCACTGTTCTTAATGCTGTAAGTTTGTTAATGATCTTACTCATAGTTTTGTGACCTTTACTTCTTTGTTTTAGGTAAAACAGCCCCTGTGAGTATTTCCTGCAATAGAGGTCTTCTGATAATAAATGTCCTTAGCTTCATTTTGAAAGGACTAGAGGCCCAGTGCACAAAATTTGTGCAAGAGTAGGCCTTCCTTCTCCTGGCTGCAGGCACTGACTTCCTTTGGCACCTGGGACCTGGGCTTTGGGGACCTGGGCTTTCCACACAGCCCTGGCTTCGTCTGATAGGCCATCTGTTCTAATTAGCATATTTTTTATTATTATAGATAACTTTGCTGGATGTATTATTCTTGGCTGGTAATTTCTCTCTTTCAGTAATCTGAATAGTTAGTTCCACTCTTTTCTGGCTTGTAGAGTTTCTGCTTAGCAGTCTGATGGAAATCTAATGGGCTTTCCTTTGTAGGTTACTTTCTTCTTTTCCCAGGCTACCTTGAGAATACTTTCTCTGTCATTAATTTTTGACAGTTTTGTTTTTTTTTAAATTTTTGACAGTGTTAATACAATGTGCCTTGAAGAAGGCCCGTTTGGATTAAGTTTTCCAGGTGTTCTGTCTGGTTCTTGGATTGGAGGACCTAATTCTTTCCATACTTTTGGAAAGTCCTCTCAACTATTTGTTTGAATAGGGTATCCATTCCCTTCTCCCTCTCTTCTTCTTCTGGCATACCTATTTTTCTTATATTGCTTTAACTGATGGAGTCATGTAGTTCCCGTGGAGCCCTTTTATTTTTATTTTTTTATTCTTGGGTTTCACTTTTCCCCTCTGTGGCATTTCTAGATTTCTATCTTTGATATCACTGATCCTTTTCTCCATTTGGTTTGCTCTATTTCCTATACCTCCTAGTTCATTATATATAAATATATATATATATATATTATTGACTTTTTACAGAGAAGAAGAGAGAGGGATAGAGAGTAAGAAACGTCGTCAATGGGAGAGAATAATTGATCAGCTGCCTCCTGCACAACCCCTACTGGGGATGTGCCCGCAACCAAGGTACATGCCCTTGACCGGAATTGAACCTGGGACCTTTCAGTCCGCAGACCGACGCTCGACTGCCTCCTGCATGCCCCCCACTGTGGATCCAGCCCACAATCTGGGCATCTGCCCTTGACCGGAATCAAACTTGGGACCTTTCAGTCCACAGGCTGACACGTTAGCCTCTGAGCCAAACCAGCCAGGACTCTAGTTCATTCTTAAAAAAAAAAAAAAAAAAAAAAAAAAAAAAAAAAAAAAAAAAAAAAAAAAAATTGATTTCAGAAAGGGAGAGGGAGAGATAGAAACATTAATGATGAGTGAGAATCGTTGATTGGCTGTCTCCTGCAGGCCTCACACTGGGGATCAAGCCTACAATCCAGGCATGTATCCTGACAGGGAAACAAACTGTAACTTCTTGGTTCATAAGTCCACACTCAACCACTGAGCAACACCGGCCGGGCCCTAGTTCATTCTTGATCTCTTTTATTGAATTATTCATCTACAGAATTTCTCTTTTGTTTTAAGTTCCAATCTCTTTGGTGAGGTACTCATTTTATTTAGTAGGTTGTTTTCTGAGCTTATTAAATTGCCTTTCTGTATTTTCTTGCATCTTCTTGAGTATTTTAAGAACTGCAGTCTTGAACTGCCTTTCACTTATGTCACATATTTCCATGTCTCAAATTTTGTTTTCTGAAGATTTTTAATTTTTTGTTGTTGTTGTTCTGTCTCACTACCTTGGTTATTTGTGATTTTTGATGTGTTCTTTCTTTGCCTAAGCAGCTATGTGTGAGTGGCATTTTTCTAGAAGATTAACATGAAAAGGTCCTTCTATTTTTCAGTAGGTGGCACTGAGTTGTGTGTGTGTGTGTTTGTTTGTTTTAGCTCTGTGAAGTTCCAGTGCCAACCTGCTGCCCTCTCTGGCTGCCATCAAAGTAGCCACCATGTTTGGGGATTGGGAGGGCTGGAGGAACTTGCCTTCCAGTAATGGTAACTTCAGTCCTCCAGGAGGTTCCTGACCCCAGGACTGGTCACAGAGTGCACCCCTTTTGCTCAGGAAGAAATATGATTCTATGGCACCTGGGTTCACAGGTAATGTGTTCCACAATCTGATATCAAGAGCAAAGGGAGGTATGCTCTGGGAGGGGAAAAAGAGGCAGTTAAGCTCTGTGGCTTTGTATCTCTGTCTGAAATGCCAACCTCCCCTACAACTATGGCTGTACTCTCCCCATCGTGTGTCTGCCCAGATCACCGGGCTGTCACAGCTCATACTACTCACTCCTGCAAGAGAGGCTTCCTTTTGGACTCCCAGCTGAAAGGAGGGTCAGCCACCACCCACTTCCTCCTCTTTCCCTGCAGAGTCCCACCCTGAGCTCCCAGGGGCATCCCTGACCTTCCTATTTTGCTCCACGTGCCCACCTTGAGATGTTTCAATGTTTGAATCGTTGAGCAGGGAATTCTTTGTGGAGTTACAGCTGTTCAAATTATTGAAACTTCAAGGGGAGAAACCAAGGGAATCTCTCATGCCCCCATTCCTCTCTATTTTAACTTTATTCATATGTGGATCAACAAATTTCAAAAAATTAAATTACAAAACTATTAAAGTTTCCCTAAGTATATACACACTTTAATGGGTGATGATTCAGAAGGCATCTGCACTGTTAGATATCACTCACTCCCTTATATTTGCCTTATATTTGCCTAATAAATAATTTCCCATGCTGGAACCTCAGATAAATGAGGATTAGTTGGAGGTGAAGGGAAAGATGGGAGAAAATGTTATAAGCAAATGACTTTGGTGTCAGACTGATAGTGATTGCACTCCTATTAACCTTCCCTTCAGGGAGACAGCTTTGGATATGAATCCTGTCTCCTTTACTTGCTACAAGAAAAAAACAACTATTTTGCAACATTTCATTTGAATAGATCACTCCAAGCTCAAACCCCTTGAGTTAGTAACAAAACCAAAATAGTTTTAATTTAATAGTTAAATTTCAATTAATTTGCTCTAATTGTAAGGTCAAAAGAGCCTAGTCTCAAGTTTGTTCTAGTTAGCCTCAAGGTTGACACACTGAATACTCTTAGGCAAGTTGCCTCTTCTCTCTGGACCTCAGTTTCCCTATCCGTCACCTGATGGACTTCATAAATTTAAAAACCCCACTCAACATTTATTGAGCTGCTATGATTTTCCAGCTCTGCAGCAGGAGCTCAAGGTTAAAATCAACACCCAGTCCCTGAGCGAGTCGTGGGGTGGTGAGGGGTTCTGAAGGTGGGGAGGCTTGTTTCACTGGTTTATGACAAAGGACTGTCATCAGATTCACAGTAAAGTGATATCTGAACAGCGCTTGCAGAGTAATTCACTGGAGTTTGCCGAGTCAATATTGCGAGGCTTTCCTTCCAAATCTCAGCTTTCAGAGCCTGCATTCTGAGAACTCGCTAAATCCAACCCTTTGCATTACCAAAGTCACAGACCGAGGGTGCCGGTGGAGCCGCATACACCCGTTATGCCCCCCAGTCCTCTATCCGGACCTGGTGGGTGGTGGTCGGCTCCCCTGGGCAGGGTAGAGATGCTCTGGCCCCCCATCGCCTTTTAGCCAAACTCGGAGAGGCGGGAGGGGCTAAGCCGGAGCGGGGCGGGATGAGCCTTGCCTTTTAGGGCTCGATCTGAGGGAAAGGTGCCCAGGGCGCGCGCACAGGGAGCGGCGGCCGCCGACCGCCAGATGGCTCAGGCCGCTGGGTGAGGAGGGCTGGGGCCGCTCAGGCGCAGGACAGGCGGGCGCCCCTGCGCGAAACCAGTATCAGCCCTTCCGGAAGAGGCGCGCGGGGCGGGGCCGGCGCGCGGGGCGGGGCCGGCGCGCGGGGCGGGGCCGGCGCGCGGGGCGGGGCCGGCGCGCGGGGCCTCCCGTGAAGCCTCGCGCGGGGAAGGACCGGAACTCCGGCCGGCGGCTAGTTGATAATATGGCGGTAGGAGGTACCTGGGCATCGCGAGGAGGCGGCGGAGCCCACGCCTGGAGGAAGGGTCTCTTTTCGGGCTAGTGCGGCGGCCGCTGCGGGCCGGGAGTCAGGGCCGATTGCTGAATGAAGGGAGCTGGGCCGTCCCCGCGACAGTCCCCCCGCGCCCTCCGCCCCGACCCTGGCCCCGCCATGTCCTTCTTCCGGCGGAAAGGTACAGCTGAGGGGCGCGGGCGAAGAACCGGCGGCCTCGGGCGGCGGTGGGCGGTGGGTCCCCTGGCCTTCTGCGGGGCAGCGAGGCCTCGGGCCTCCGCGCAGACGCCGGTGCGTGCGGCGCTGTGCTCCCGGGCTGCGGGCGGGGAAGGCGGCCTCCTCGCGCGGGGTCACTGGGAAAGCGCCCGCTGGTCCGGAATTGTTTGCGGAAACGCAGACAAGTTAATGACCGTTCGCGTGAGAATCGCTCGTCGGGTGCGTGTGCGCCCTGGAGTGTATGTACACTGTGAGTCAAGAAAAAGGAGATTCCTCTGGTACCTTGTTGCGGAAGTCTCTGACTTTCCAGAATACTGCGAGCTTTTTGCCTAAAAGCAACGCATAATAATTTTTCAACTAGTGCTTCTTTCCAGTTTGGGATGTTCTTGTATAAATTCTTGCTGCTTCAGAGAAAATGTCCCAGATGAAAACTGGTTTTGGAAAAAACCCTCAACCAAGTCAGGCACTTCGGTTCACCTGACAGCAAGTGTGTAACTTGTCTGTCAACTGGTAATTAGTTGTTCCCCAACAGCTTTATTCAACCATGACTATGAATTAAAGAATTCCTTTTAAGTACATACAAAGTTCGGTGAATGAATGAAAACAGTGCTGAATAAATGAAACAGTAAAGTGGGTACAAGGAAGTAAGGTACCTTGTCGTTAGTAGCTGTAATTAGTTTGACAGCTGTGTGTTTTTGTTGTTGTTTTAAATTTTTATTGATTTCAGAGAGGAAGGGAGAGGGAGAGAGAAACATCAGTGATGAGAATCATTGATCGGCTGCCTCCTGCACGCCCCCTTCTGGGGATCAAGCTAACAACCCGAAATCGAACCCTGGGACCCTTCCGTCCCTAGGCCCATCCATGCTTCATCCACTGAGCCAACCCAGCTAGGGCTGTGTGACGGTTTTGAAGTGGTTAGTTGTTTTTGTCATTTATTTAGAGGGGCGTGAGAAGCATTCTATGTATAGTGAGACAAATTGCATTTCGACAATGGACTGTTGTCTCTAGTCAGCAAATACTTATGAGTGTTTACTGTTTGCCAGGCACTGTGCTAGGTCCTCAGTGTAGAGCACTGAACAAGACAGAGAGTCCCTGCACCCATGGAACTTTAGGTCTGCTGGAGTAGACAGTAAGTCTCTCTCTCAATTGAGGATAGTGTTTTGAAAGAGGTAACTTGACTAAAGAAACACTTAGGTTGGGTGTTAGAGAAAGGCCTCCACAGGTGACCTTGAAATTTAGAGCTGAGGGATCAGCTGGAGGTCGCATGTAGAGGTCAGGGAATAGCATTCCAGGCATAGAAAAGCGTGTTCCAAGGTCGGGAGGAAGAAAATTTGGAGTCCTTCAAGAACGTAAAGAAAGGCCATGTGGCTCAGGCTCAGAGACATAGATGAGTCAGAGCTTTGTGGGCCATATTTACATTTTATTCCAAGTGCAGAGCCAATATTATTTTTAAAATAATAATTTTTAAAGAGGAGTGACTTGATCTTATTTTATGTTTTTAAAAGATTACTCTAGATATATTTTGGAGACTGAATGTGATGCTGAGATGGTCTTATTTATTTGGGACCCTCATCCAATCTTTAAATACCATTTTTAAATAATACCCATATGCTGATGATTCCCAAATTTACACCTCTACGAATTCAGACTAGCCTAATTTGTTGTCAGTCCACTTTATACCAGTGCATAATAGATATTTAATTAGTAGATTATTGTTAGTTATTACTATTGATATAGATATAATAGAAACATCTTTAGATTATTATCTAAAATTTAACTCCATATATAGTTCTTCTAAACCTGTTCATTTGCTTTTCTCATTTCAATAAATGTCATTTCTGGCCTTTTCATTGCTCAGGCTAAACTTTAGTACATTTTAGACCTCTCTTTCACTCCTCTATCTAAATTTATTAGCAAATCTGTTAGGTCTACCCCAGAACATACCCAAATTTGACCACTCCTCACCACCCTCGTCTCTATTTATAATAGGTTGGGTGGTTAAGGAAGTCCTCTGAGAGGATGCCATTCCAATATCAGTTTAGATGTCAAGCGGAAGCTGGTTTTATGAAAATTGAGGAAGCAGCATTATTTTGCTTACAATTTGGTTTCTTTCATCCTTGACTCCTGTGGTATATTTTCAAAATATCTGTTCAGATTCCTCTAGTGAAGTGATTCTCAAACGTTCTAATGCCACAACCCTTTAATACAGTTCTTCATGTTGTGGCGAATCCCAACCATAAAATTATTTTCGTTGCTACTTCATAACTGTAACTTTGCTACTGTTATGAATCGTAATGGAAATATCTGTTTTCCGATGGTCTTAGGCGACCCTGCTAGCGGTTCTCAACCTGTTCTAGAAAGTTGAGGACCACCGCTCTAGTGGCTTCCATAATTTAGGTCCCATTTCCTCGTTAGGATCATCTCCTGCTCTCCTCCATCACTCTCCATTTATATTGCCCTCTTTGTCAAGTGTATTCCCACCCCAGTGCCTTTGCACCTGTTTTCTGTGCTGGAAACAACTTCTCACAGATACCTACTTGTTTTGCTTCCTCATCTCTCTCAGGTTTTTGAGCAGTTGTCATCTTAGGAAAGCTCTCTTTGGCCATCCTACTTAACATTGCAGTCACTGGCCCCTGCACTCCCATCCCCTTGCCTTACTTTATTTTTCCTCTATAGCATTTCTCACCATCTGCTTTACTATGCATTTTATTAGAATGAAAGCTGACTTTTTTTTTTTTTTTTTTAATGACTGTATCTATGTCTAGGTCAGTGCCTGGAATATAGTTAGGAATTTAGTAAATATTTGTTGATAAGTGAACAAAAAAATATCAGTTAGCAATAAGTGTTATGCAGTGAATTTAAACTGATTTGGGAGCAGACCTGGAATAACAGTTTACATTAAAGGAACAAATAGTATTTAACTAAATCTGAATGAGGAGGGAGCAGCCTTTTTAAGATTAAAAGGAACCACATTCTAGCTAGAGAGAACTAACTGTAGCGCAAATGTCCTGAGGCAGGAACAAGTTCCTTGTGTTCAAGGAACAGAAAGAAGGCTGGAACTCACTTGGAGAAGAGGGCAATCACTTTAATAAGTGAGAGGAGAGAACAAAAACTAGGAAAGCTTTGGGCTCAGAGTTTGGGGTAAAAGGAATCAGGAATTCTCTTTTGGCTGTTGAGAGCTTGCCATAACTTTGAGACATCCATAAGCATATGTCACAGAAGCTTTCGATGTACAAGTCTATAGTTCTGGAAGGAGGTTAGAACTCAAGGTCTGGATGTGGATTTAGAAGTACTGTGCATAAATGATAAAGACATGGAACTATATATGACCACCTAAGGGCTATGTATAGTATATGAGTTAGATTGAACAGCTAAGCTACCAAAACACAGACACTAAAGATAGACCTATATTTTTCTCTTGTGTAACAGTCCAGGTTGCTGGTCATTGGGTGGCTTTGCTTCATGATCATTCAAGGATCATTTTCCTCCTATGTTGTTATTTCTCTTTCCCTTGGATTGTGGGCTGTTTCATCAAAGACAGGTCATAGCCTCTTCTGTCTGTCCTTAGGTCTTCTCATCCATGGTAAGGGGAAAAGTATGAAGGAAAGAAGCTTTGGCCAGAAAATTGCACATTACATTTTTATTCGCATTCCGTTGGTGAGAGCCTAGTTATATGGTCATAGATAACTGTAAAGGCTTCTGGGAAATGAAAAATAGTGGGCCAGTTATGTGCCACACTGTAGTTATGAATTCAGTGGCCTGAATTCTTCTGCCATATTATAGACAAAACAGGAGCCTAGGAGAAGGCTCTGAGACTAATCCAGATTTTAGAAATTGAGAAACATACACCATTGGCAAAGGAGAGATGAAAATAAAATGTCATGGGTGTAGGAGTGCAATGTCATGAAAGCTAAGGATAGATAATATTTCAAAAAGGAGAAAGTATTGTGGGGAATGTTACCTGCAAGGCCAAGATAAATAGAACTATCTACTCAATTTGATAATGTGTAAGTAATGAATTATATAAGAGTGGTGTCAGTGGAATGGATTGAGGGAAGAATGTGAAATGAGGAAAATAGAAGTAATTAAGAACACCTTTTCAAGAAACTTTGCAGGCAGAAGGGGATATTGGGTTGAGTGTTTTTTGTTTTATTTTTAAGATAAAATATACCAGAGTGTGCTGATAGGAATGATACATTAGAGAAGGAGAGGTTGATATGGAAGAGAGGGTGTAGCTTACATGAGTGAGAAGACCTATGAAGTTGGGATTAAACTTGACTATACCAAGATTGGCTAGAATCCACTGCTGCTGGAAATGTCAGCCAGTACTATCGCTTGTATGAGTTTAAAAATCTCAAGCAGTACTCTGTATTGTTCATAGATACATAAATGTCTTAAAGAGTAAAAATGCGGCAGAAACAATAAATATTCAATTTATGAAATTGTTTCTCTTGGGAGAACTATAATGAAATCAGGGCGATGTTACAGTTGCACCTGCAGTGTTTTATTTCTTTTAAAAGTCCTTCTGAAACAAATCTGACAATGTTAAGATTTGATAAATTGGAATATGCCTCATATTAAGGTCTTTTTTTTTTTTTTATAGTTTTAAATGTTTCTAATGAAAAGAAATACACAGGTAAGAAAAAGCTTAGTCAGTAGTACAAAATAAGGTGGCAGAAATAAACCTAAATGGATCAGTAATCACAATAAAATTAAATAGACTAAAATCCATATGGCTAAATATATAGTAAAAGTCCATGTAAGCTAAAGATAAAGACTCAGTTTTGATGATATTGAAATGCATCCATAAGCCATTTACCAGAGAGACAACCGAAACATAAGGGCATAATGAAATTTAAATTTAAAATAAATGGGTAAGTTCACTAGGCCAACTCATTAGGCGACAGAGCCAAATATAAACAATACAACAATTGAAATTTCTTTTGAGAGCCAAATTTTTAAACT